TTGTTTCCAGTTTGGGGGCAATTAGGAATAAAGCTACTCTAGACATTTCAAGTACAGGTTTTTCTGTGGACAGAGGTCATATTTCCCTGGAGTAATTACCTAGGAGCAGGTTTGCTGGATTGTATGATAAGTGTATGATTTAGTTCCTAAGAAACTGCCGAATGATTTTTTAGAGTACCATTTTGCGTGCCCACCAGAAATGTCTGAGAATTCCAGTTGCTCTGCATTCTCATCAGCACTTCATACTGTCAGCTTTTTAAAAAATTTAAGCTATTCTGATAGATGTGTAGTGATATGTCCTTGTGGATTTAATTTGCATTTCCCTCATGAATAATGCTGTTGAGCATCTTTTCATGTGTGTGTGTTTTTTTTTTTTTTGCCATCTGCATCTCTAGTGAAGTATGTGTTTGGATCTTTTGCGCATTTTCAATTGGGCTCTTTGTTTTCTTATTGAGTTTTGAATGTTTTTAGATATGCTGGTTACCAGGCCTCTACCAGGTGTGTTATGAAAATATTTTCTCTCAGTCTGTGGCTTGTATTTTCATTTTCTTAGCAGTCTTTAGAACAGCAGAAATTTTAAATTTTGATGAGATCCAATTTGTCAGTTTTTTCTTCTATGATTCTAAAAAGTCTTTGCCTATCCCAAGGTCACAAAGATTTACTCCTTTGTTTTTTCTAGAAGTTTTACATTGTTAGCTTTTTCATTTAGGGCTGAAATGATCCATTTTGAGTTAATTTTTGTGTATGGAATGAGGTTAACTTTTTGCATGTGGATGAGTAGTGTTCCAGCACTATTTGTTGAACTTTCTCCATTGAATTTCCTTGATATCTTTGTTGAAAAATCAGTTGACCATATATGTGTGGGTCTATTTCTGGATTATATTTCTGTTCCATTGATGTGACTGTCCTTTTGACAATACTACACTATTTTGATTAATATGCTTTTACAGTAAGTCTTGAAACCAGCCTTATTGCGCTGGCTGGGACCTCCAGTGTGATAAAGACTAAGAGTGAAGAGAGGAGACATTCTTGCCCTGTTCCCAGTCTTAGGAAGAAAGTATTCACTCTTTCACTGTTACATATGATGTTAGCTGTGGGTTTTTCACAGATGCTCTTTATCAGGTTAAGGAGGTTCCCTTCTATTCTTACTTTCTGAGAATTTTTATCATTAAATGATTTTGAACTTTGTCAAATGTCTTTTCTTCACCTGTTGATATCATGTGGTTTTTCTCATTTAGTTTGTTGATAGAGTCAGTTACGTTGACTGACTCATGAATGTTGAACCAACCTTGTATTATTAGAGTAAACCATAGTTGATTGTGATGTGTTACCTGTCTTACATATTGTTGGATTTGATTTGCTAATATTTTGTTAGGAAATTTTTGCATTTATGTTTACGAGGGATGTCATAATAACCTCTTTTTAATGTATGTAGGATCGGTATTGATGGCCCCTTCTTCAATCCCATTATTAGTAATTTGTGTGTTCTCTTTTTTTCCTTGATTAATCTACCTGGAAGTTTATCAATTTTATTGATATTTTTGAACAACTAGTTTTAGTTTCATGATTTTTTTTCTATTACATAATATCTATTTCATCATTTCAGTGTTGATTTTGCTCTCATCTTTATTGCTTCCTTCCTTCTACTTACTTTTGGTTTAATTTGCTCTCTTTTTTCTCAAGGTAGTAGATTACATTACTGATTTGGAAACTTTCTTTTCCAACATCAGTATATAATATTGTAATTTCCCTCTAAATATTGCTTTACAGAATTAACAAATTTTTATATATTGTATTTTCATTTATTTAAAATTATTTTCTAATTTTTTAGGGAGGGGGCCTTCCTTTTTGGACCTTGGTTATTTAGAAGTATGCCATTAAATTTGCTAATACATGGGGATTGTTCACATCTTTCTGTTACTAATACCCAGTTTAATTTTGTTCTGGTCACAGAAGACTCTTTGTATAAGTTCAGTTATTCTAAATTGGCTGAGGATTGTTCTAAGTCCCAGAATATATTCTATCTTGGTGAATGTCCCATGTGCTCTTGAAAAGAATGTATAGTCTGTTATGGTTGGGGCAAAGTGTTCTATAAATATCAGTTATGTCAGTTTGGTTGATACTGTTGTTCAGCTCTCCTATATCCTTCTGATTTTTTGTCTACCAGTTCCACCAATTACTGAGGAAGGAGCTTTGAAGTCTCCAGCCATAATTGTGAATCTGTTTATGTATTCTGTCAGCTCCATTGGGTTTTGCTTCATGTGTTTTCAAACTCTGATGTTAGATGCAGTCACACTTAGGATTCGTATGTCTTCCTGATGAATTAACTCCTTAATTATGTAATATCCCTCTTTATCCCTGGTAATGTTCCTTGTTCTGATATTAATATAGTCATGTATTTGCATGGCACGTCTTTTTCTTTTTACTTTTAACCTATGTAGTTATATTTAAAATAAGTTTCTTGTAAATAGTATATAGGTAAGTCTTGCTTTTATATCCGTGTGGAATATAGGAATATTTCCATTTAATGTAATTTTTGGTATGGTTGGCTTTCAATCTCCATTTTGCTAGATGCTTTCTAATTGCCCTATCTGTTCTTTGTTGTTGATGTTTTCCATGCCTCATTCCATTTTACTTGCCTTTTGATTTCATTTTTTATTCTGTTTTATCTTTACTACTGACTTATTAGTTATACCTCTTTAAAAAAAATATAGTGGTTGCCATAAGGTTTACAATATATGTCTTTATCGCATTCCCCTTTCAAATAATATTATGCTACCTCATGTATAGTCTAAGAACTTCCAGTCCCTCTCTCTCATTCTTCGTGCTGTCATTGTTGTGCGTTTTACTTTTACATATCTTACACACCCCGCATGAGGAACTTCTTTGGTGATGGAAATGTCTCTATCTTGATTGTGGTGATGATTACATGGGTGTAAACAGTTTTCAAAAGTCAGTATACACCACACAGAAGATGAGGGAATTTTACTGTATGTAAATTATACCTAAATGAAGATTTGAATATATAATTTTATATATATATATATATACACATGCACGTGTGTCTGTCTATAGAAAGAATGAGAATATGGACCTAGTATAGGACTTTCCTAAACTATGTACTATTTAATTAATTTACTGTTTAATTAATAGTATTAATTACATGTTGGTGCTGGTGGTGAAAATTTGAAGAGTTAATAGTAGAGGGAAGTACATAATGAATACTTAGGTTATTTGCATTTAAACCTTGCTGTCATTTGAGTATCATTTATAATTAAGAGCACCCACAAATGAGCTGATATTTTGTCTCCTTTTTAAAAGAGACAAATGAGGAAATTGCTGGAATTGTATGCTATTCCTCCGTTCTGTTTTCCAAACCAGAGAAGGAACAAGACTGTCTAGAGTTCTGTGCTGTCCAATATAGTGTCCACTAGCCATGTTTAATTTAAATTAAAAATTCAGTTCCTCAGTCATGCTGGCCCCCTTTCAAGTGCTTAGTGGCCACATATGACTAGTGGCTCCCGTGCTGGACAGTGCAGTTATAAAACGTGTCCATCGGCACAGGCAGTTCTGTTGCGTGGCACTGCTCAAGGAAAAGTTAACAAGTGTCCCTGGCTGGCCTTTCTCCTTCCTTTAGTGGAAGGCTAGGTCCGCTTTTCCCAGCTGCTTGAATGTCGTTCTCTGAATGTATCTCCGTTCTGTTTACCATTAGTGCAAAGAAAATATGAGTGGGTAATCTTGAAAAACGCCTGTTATTGACCAATGAAAATCCTTAGTCAGGGTCCCCGTGGATTTCCTAGGTACCGGTATTCAGTAGTCTCTTTTCATTGTTTCTTTCACTTGACCTGTCTGCTGTGTATGACACTTTTGGATGTGCCTCTCTTCTTGGTTCTTTCCTCTTTTTGCTTATATGACACCGACTCTGCCTTTCTGCTTCTATCTCTCTGGTCACTTTTTCCTCTCCTTTTATAGGTTCTTCTTTCTCTGCCCATCCCTTAAATGACAGCTTTCCACAGAGGTCCATCCTTAACCTTATTTTTGACTCCTTGGACACCAAATACCACATATGTGCTGAAGAGCAGCAAATCTGTAACCAGCTCAGGCCTCTCACCTGAGTTGCTGGTGACTATATCTACGTGGCTGCCCTACGAGCATCCCAGCCTCCATTTGTCCAAAGTGACTTCACTCTCTTCCTCTCTTGAAACCTGCCTCTACCCCACTCAGTGGGGTCATTAGTATCCACTGTGCTTCTAGAAACTTGGGAACCTCCCTCATCGCCCACACCAGTTAATCAATTCCTGTTGATTCCACCTCCTAATTACCTCTCAAATTGATTTCTTTGTTTATTCCCAAGGCTCTGTTTTCAGGTCCCCCACATTTGCCAGTATTCTTACAACTTAATCTTTCTCCTGCCAATTTATCTTCCCCACTGCTGAATGGTGAGTGATCTTTCTAAAATGCAGAGTTGATCACTTTATTCTCCTGTTTAAAATCCCTCTAAGGCCCCACATTATGTTTGTCAGTAATGAAAACATGTTAGCATAATATAGTAGTCTCTTCTGGGTCTGCTTCTTCCCATCTGTCCATCGCTGTCTTTCAGTCATGTCCAGCCACTTAACTGCCTGGAATTCTCTGAACCAACCGTGTACTTCTCTCTCACCTCTGTGCCTTTTGAACTCTCTGTTCCCTTTACTTGGGGCTGATGCCTCTCCCCGTCTCTACCTTCCGCTTCAGGACTCCATTCAGGCCTCCCATCATCTGGGAAACATTCCCTGATGTCTTCCCTCCCCAGGCTGGTCTGTGCCTTTCTGACTTCCCTCGTGTTCTCACAGTATTCTGAGCTTTTCTCTACCATGGCAGTTACTTCCCTCTATTGTAGTAGCACAGAAAGTTCTCAGTAACAGTTTATGGAATAATCTAACAAGTGTAAATTCTGAAAATCTATTTGAATTCTAACCTAATGAATCATGTTATAGTAACCTTCTACTTTCTTGTTATAGGTGAAGATGCTGGAAGCAGATCTGGTTTCAAAAATGCTACGAGCTGTTCTACAGTCTCATAAGAACGGAATAGCATTGCCCCGGCTCCAAGGAGAGTACAGGTCCTTGACCGGAGACTGGATTCCCTTCAAGCAGTTGGGCTACCCTACACTAGAAGCGTATCTGAGAAGCGTGCCCGCAGTTGTCAGGATAGAGACTAGTAGATCTGGAGAGGTAAGAAGGTAATTGTGCATGTCAGAAGAGTCACACCAATTCTTAGTTGGCTGTCTGGCACTTCCAATCTCGTAACCAGGATAGAAGTCCAAGCGAAAAGTACTAACTAAATGGTTTGAGATCGGTGCTGATGGAGAGAACAGCATCCAAAGCACAACCCAGATTCTGATGTCTTTTGTTTTATCCCTCAGGTTCTTTCCATTGTAAAAATCAGATTTAACCACATTAAATAAAGTATTTTAAAGATAAAGTTGACCCAGTCTCCACGTCCAAACAAAATAACCGTACTGGAGCCCTTAACTGCCTAAAGGTCACACCCATCCATTATGAACCTGCTGCAGCTGGTCTTGCCCGGGTCACTAATGACCTCCTGATTTCCAAATCTAATAGAGACTTTTAAATTCTCTCCATTTGACCTGACTGCTGTCTAGTCCTACCATCTGGACCCTAGTTCAGTCCCTAATTGATCATTCAGCACCTTCGATTATTAAGGGCTCTCCCTGTCGCCTTGTCTTTAGTCCCTCCTGTCTCAGCCTGTTCTCACCTTCACACCAATGTGATCATAATTCTCTACAATTGTAAATCTTTTAGTTTCTCTGGAAGAGTATTTTATGTATAACGTGGGCAGTTTGGTGGCCAATAAATCCTGTGTTGCACATGCCTGTGACCCAGCAGTTTCACTCCTTGGTGTCTGCCCAGTGCACGGTAGGAAAAGACGGACAGACCACCGTCCAGAAGACAAAAAGGCACCCACCCCCCGAAACAGCCATTTTTCTGCGTACATTTCTACATGTGTAAACACTCAGAACAGATGTGGAGTATTTCTCACCAAAACTTGTGATAGTCGTTCCTCCGTTTGGTGGGGGGTTGGGGAGGCAGTGGGTGGAGGAGGAAAAAGGGCACCAGGATTGGGAGAGTGGACAAAGGGGAAGTTCACCTGCTCTGTAGTCATTGTTGTAAGGAGCAGGTGTAAATGAATTAAATACTGTATGAATAATAAGACTTGCTGCAGCGTCCTTGGTTCTCCCAGATGGAGTGAAGCCCTCCTTTCTGTCTGCTTGGAACCTTGTCATACAGCTAATGTAACACTTGACTGGTGTTTTCTATTTAGTCTCTGAGACCCTCTCTTTTTCCTTCATAAGTTTCTTGAGGATGAGAGATTGTTTTTTCACCTCTGATAGCTGGTGCTTAATAAATATGTGGTGAAAGTGTGAATGATCAAATGTCTGAATGAATTAATAAATTAATGCTTCATATAGTTACTATACTACAACTTACTCTTTATTCCTCTATTTTGGACATTTTTAATGTTTCCAGGTTTTGACTATTAAAATAACCCCTATTACAAATATCTGGGTATATTACTTTTTCTTCTCTTGAATTATATTCCTGTAATATATTTTCAGGAGTACATATACTGGGCCAAAGAGTGGGAACATACTTTGGCTTGTGGTGTGAAGCCTTATTGCTTTCGTGTGCTTGATTTCAACCTGGAATCAAAGGCTTTAACACTAAATGGGGCGTTAGAGGTCACCCGGTCCCGATAGTCTGCATACTTTTTTCAGATATCCTGTATTTCATACCCATTTTTTAAAAGGTAAAAAGCTGAGCTGCTGTGTTTTAAGCAGGTGCCAGAGGGTCCAGGCTCCGCTTGCCCTGCCTTGCCCTCACAGCCCTGCCTCTGTAAGGGCCCCGAGCCACCTTCATGGAATCCGGTGGCTCCACTGAAGCTTAAAAACCCCAGATCTAGGCCCACTCCTGTTTTACAGCTGAGAATACTGAGATTTGGCAGGTAAACTGATTCACGCCAAGTCACCCAGCTAAGCCAGTGCCGTGGCAAGACTACGATTGAGTGGCCTTTGAGAGGCGATACAGATAGCGGCTACAAGTACATGCTTTGGATTCAGAGAGAGAGCCTGGCTGTGTGACTTAGGAAAGTTTCCTTAACTTTCCTGCACCTCTGTTTTCCCACGTATAAAATGGGAATCAAATATATCTCAGATTATATGAGATACTATATGCAGACCACAGGTTTCTTTTGGTTCGTTTGTTAATCCCATAGCACCTAGCACTTCAGAGATGCTTAATAAATACCTGTTGTGGAATAAATGAAATCTTCAGTTTGGGGAAGCATGATTCAGTGTGCTAGACTATGCTCGATTTCTCTTGTAGAAAATAGAATTTTGCTCTAACATTGTCAAGGAGAGAGAGACGTGAATATTTGCATACGGCTTGATTTGAAACATGTAAACTCACTAAGATCCACTTTTAAAAATCAGCCTCTTGGGTCCGGCTCGGTGGTACAGCAGTTAAGTTCTCACGTTCCACTTCAGCAGCCCAGGGTCTGCCGTTTCAGATCCCGGGTGTGGACGTGGCACCGCTCATCAAGCCATGCTGTGGCAGGCATCTCACATATAAAGTAGAGAAAGATGGGCATGGATGTTAGCTCAGGGCTAATCTTCCTCCAAAAAAAAAAAAAAAAAAAAGTCAGCCTCTAGGCACCAGTGAATCTGAGAAGTGCTTCCCTCTCACCTTCCTCTCATGAACAGATCACCTGCTATGCCGTGGCCTGCACAGAAACTGCAAGAATTGCTCAGCTTGTGGCTCGTCAGAGGAGTTCTAAAAGGAAAACTGGGCGGCAAGTGAATTGTCAGATGAGAGTCAAGAAAACCATGCCATTTCCTCTGGAAGGTAGGGTCTTTTCACCTGCTAAAGTTCTTAAGCCTGTCTATGAATACACTTATATGGAATTATGGAAATATTGCTTATATTCGTGATAAACACCTATATTTGTTAACATTCATCTGTCAAGGGAGAAATCCTGAGGCTAGTATTTCCATGTGAAATTAAGCGAACAGTGTGAAATAACTCAGAGTAGATTTTAATTAAACTTATTACGGCAAAATGTGGTTTTATTCTTTTGGGTTATTTGGGGGAAAGCCCCATCCAGAATGTTGGCGGAACCAAGAACCTATGATTTAATGTCCTATTTAGCAAATCGTGTCTTTTAGTATAAATCCTTTATTTTCAGAAAAACATGAATTATATAGTACATAAAGTTGTTATAGACAACTCAGCCAGTGTTTACTGAACACTTATCTCGAGGAGCTTCTAATCAGCTCTAAAACTAAATTCTCAAGAAACAGTGTAATGGTAATATAAGAGGAGATGCCTGAATGCCACAGTGAGCATTTTAGACAAGGGAGCAATCATCGTGAGTGAGAATGGCAGTGGAGGGCTTCAAGGTGAAGGGGAGACTTGAACCCAGAACTCAAACAACAGGAAGAATTTAAAGTGACGCGGAAGAGACGGGAGGACCGAGATACTGCTGAGTGCGCTGCATTTGTAGGAGCAGGAGGGGCTGCCACTGAAGTGTCAGTCGGTGAGTAGAGGGAAGGTTCCTGGCTAGTCTGGCGGATGAAGCCGTGTTTTGAAGAACCTCATCTGCCAAATCCTTGCCATCTACTCTTTCCCTGCTGACCACCCAACCCTCTAGTGGCACCCTGCTCATGTTCTTACAGACTGTTTGAGAATAGAGACCCACAGAAAACATCTGGATAGGGGAGTGACATAATGAAACTAGGGTTTGGGGAAGCTAATTAATTCCATTATGTGTGCCTAACTTCATAGGAAAACCAAAAGCAACTCTCAGACAACCAGGATTTTCTTCAGATCTTTCTATCAGCAAAAAACCTAATCCAACACTGTTAAGAGACAAAGGAAACTCTCTTGGAGTCAAGTCTGATGCTGAAATGCCGCCCTACACATTACACACAACTGTTGGAAGTGATGTCTTCAAAGACGCTCCAGTGCAGAGGCATGTGACCATGTCTGCCAACAACAGGTATTTGGGCTTTGTCTGGCTGAGAGAAGTTTGGTGAATGTGGGATAATAAAAGTCAAATATGTATGTTCATGCTAAGAAGGAAATACTTTCTGTTTTGTCTAATGTAAGTTCACGTGTAGGAGAAAGATGCATCATTACTAGTACGTTCACTTTTCCTGGCTGCCTGAATGTCGTTCTCTGACTATATCTCCATTTTATATTTTCTCTGAATTATTGGCAATGTCTCTTTATAAAATTCATTTTAAAGGCACTCACAGGTTGTTCTAAGATGCTACTTCAGCATAACTTACAACTTTTTCTGAAAGCCTTTCTTATAATGAGTTTTGTAAGTTTTAAGTAAAATCTCATTGATTTGCACATTGCACTATGCTCCGATAACCTTACCCATAATTATACAATAGCACGATACATCCAGGCATCAGAATACCGGACCAGCAGTAATAACACAACCTTAAAGTCTTAATTTGAGTGCTGCCTTTCACTAGCCAGGTGAAATTATTTAGTCTTTTGGGGCTGTAGTTTCCTCATTTGTCCAATGAAAATGTTAAACTAGGTGATTTCAGAGTTCCTTTCTGGCTCTAAATTTGTGGTTTTATAAGGTAACTCAGGTCAGCAAACTGTGACCCATGGGCCAAATCCAGCCCATTGCCTGTGTTTTGTAAATAAAGTTTTATTGGCACACAGCCACATCCCTTTATTTATGTATTGTCTGTGGTTGCTTTTGCACAGCAACTGCAGAGTTGAGTAGTTATGCAGAGACTGTATGGCCTGCAAGACCTGAAATATATACAATTGGCTCCTTTACAGAAAAGGTTTGCCAAGTCAGGACATAGAAGAATCAGTATCACATTCTTCAAACCTATTTGTGCTTTTACAAAACAAATTTTGTTATATCATATGCCTTTAAGTCAGTATTCAAAAGTTCCGTTTTGTGTAAAAGATAGTTGCCCCCAGTACTAGAATATTCAGAAAGAATTACTTTTTTTAAAAAAACTAGGTAAAAGAGTACCAATTTTTTATATTTTGATATTTTTTATAAAGTAACTCTAAAATATTTTTCGTAATGGTATATATTTAGTGTTGTTCATGGTTAGTATATTCCAGTTTTGATAAGGTCTAGAAAATACATAGTTAAAACGTGGATTTTGCCCCAAAGCACTGGTTGGGTCCAGTATGTGACTGAGGTACCATTGTCTTCTCTGATTGCTTGCCTAAACTTCAAGATCCCATTTTGGACTGAATCTGTAAAATGACAGCAAAATCAGGCATGCTGGATTGTGGGTCCAGGGGAGCATTCTCTACCCCGTAGTCTGATGTCTCCTGCCTCTCACCTAGTAGCAGTGGGTGGCCCAGGTTAGTATGTTCCATCCCTGCAGGCAGCACCAACAGGGATTGAATGGGGACCCTGCCTGCACCAAATAGCCCAAAGAACTGGTGCAAGGTGATGTTCTCTGACCTGAGCCTAGTGTGCTTCCACCCCACACCAAGCAGCACCAGGCTCAAGGAAGTGCATTCTGCTCCTGTGGGTACCACCTGCAGAGATCAAGCGGTAGACCCAACAGCAACAGGTGAATGTGCCAGACAGAATAGCACTGTAAGGGCTCTGAAAACTAAATTATCATTGCAACCACAGCCTACAAAAGTGGGCCAGGAGCTATGAGCTAAACTTAAACAGGATAACTGCCTGCTAAAATAGGAAATTTGCATATGATCCAGAGTCTCCTATGTCCAAATGTCCAGGATACATTAAAAAAAAATCACATACTAAGAACCAGGAAAATAACTTAAATGAAAAAAGACAGTCAACAGATGCCAACACCAAGATGAATCACATGTTGGAATTATCTGACAAGGATTTTAAGGCAGCTGTCATAACAGATGTTTCAGTGAGCAATTGCAAATACTTTTGGAAAAAGTAAAAAATTAGAAAATTCACCAAAGAAAGAGAACAAACAAAAAAGAACCAAGTGGAAACTATAGTACTGAAAAATGCAACAATAAATAAAGAATGCACCAGATGGGCTCAATAAGAGGAAAAAATATGACAGAGGAAAGAATAAGTGAACTTGATGATAGAACAATAGAAATTACCCAATCTGAACAACAGAGTAAATAGACTTCAAACAAAACAAAACAACTAGCAGAACCTGAGGGGCCTATGGGAAAAAAACAACTAGCAGAACCTTAGGGACCTGTGGGGAAGAGACAAAAAGATCTAATATGTGTATTGTCAGAATCTCATAAGAAGAGAAAGAGTGGAGCTGAAAGAATATTTGAAGTCGTAATGGCTGAAAACTTCCCAGATTTGGCTAAGGACGTGAACCTACAAATTTAGGAAGCTGAGAGATTTCCACAGAGGATGAATCCAAAGAAACCCACACCAAGACAAATCATTAAAATTAAACTTCTGAAAACTAAAGGCAAAGAAAAAATCTTGAAAACAGCCAGAGGGAAGTGACACTTCACCTATAGGGGAACATGGTTTTAATGACAGTGGATTTCTCATCCACAACCATGGAGGAAAAACAGCACATTTTTCTATTCCTGAAAGAAAAAAATTATCAACTACAAATTCTGTATCCAACAAAAATGTACTTCAGGAATGAAAGGGAAATAAAGACGTTTTCAGACGAAGGAAAACTAAGAGAATTTGTCACTAGTCAACCTACTCTTAAAGAGTAGCTAAAGGAAGTTCTCTCAACAGAAAAGAATTAATATAAGATGGCTTGAAATATAAGAAAGAAAAGAGCAGAATGGGTGAAAGAAAAAGTTGTAAATATAATAGATTATCCTTCTCATGAGTTTCTTAAATCATATTTGGTTGAAGCAAAAATAACAACACCATCTATGTGGTGTTCAATGTATGTAGAGAAAGAACTTAAGACAATTCTATTTATAAAGTGGGGAAAGCAAGGAGACCTGAGTGAAAGTAAGGTTTCTACACTTCACTTGAAGTGGTGAAACACTGGGAAGCAGTAGAGCATGATGTTACTGTGTGTGATATTGGAATGCAGAGAGCAACAAATAGGAAAACCATACCAAGTGATATAGTAAAAAGCACTACAAATCACAATGGAAGTCTCAGAAAAGTTTAAGTAACCCACAAGAATGCAAGAAAAGAGAAATAGAGGAAGGAAAAACAGGAACAAACAGAAAACAAATAGTAAAATGGCAGGCATAAGCCCTAACATGGCAATGATTACTTTAAATGCAAAAACATGTGAAAAGATGTTCAACTTCATTAGTCACTAAGGAAATGACGATTAAAAGTACAATGAGATATCACTGTACCACACCTATTAAAATGGCTAAAATAAAAAATAGTGATAATAGTGAATGCTGGCAAGGATGCAGAGAAACTGGATCACTCTTACATTGCTGTTAGAAATGTAAAATTGAACAGCCACTCTGGAAAACAGTTTGGGTGTTTCTTTAAAAAAAAAAAAAGCTGAACATGCGGTGACCTTATGACCCAGCACTTGCACTTCTGGGCATTCAACCCAGAGAAATGAAAACTTATTTTCATACAAAACCTGTACACAAATGTTCATAGTAACTTTATTCATAATAGCCAAAAACTAGAAACAACCCAGACGTCCTTTATTAGGTGAATGGTTCGACAAACTGTAACATCCATACTACAGAATACTTCTCAGTAATAAAAAAGAGAACTACTGATAACACACAAAACTTTGATGAACCTCAAGGGAATTATGACGAGTGAAAGAAGCCAATATCAAAAGGTGACATACAGTACATTTCTATTTATATAACATTCTTGAAATGGCAAAGTTATAGAAATGGAGGACAGGTACATGGTTGCCAAGAGTTAGGGGTGGGGTTAAGGGGGATGGGTGTGGCTGCAAAGGGGCAGCAAGGAGGAGCCTCGAAGTGCTGGGACAGTTCTGGATGTTGATTGTTGTGGTTACATGGATTTATATGTGTGGTCAAATTGCACAGAGCTACACACACACACACACACACACGTGTAAAACTGGTGAAATGTGAATAAGCTCTGGATTGTACCAATATTAGTTGCGTGGTTTTGATACTGTACTGTGTAAGTGTTGCCATTGGAGGGAGCTAGGCGAAGGAGACACAGGACCTCTATGTACATTTTTTGCAACTTCCTGTGAATTTATAAGTATTTCAGATTAAAAAATTGATAGTAAGGGGCTGGCCCCGTGGCCGAGTGGTTAAGTTCGCGCGCTCCGCTGCAGGCAGCCCAGTGTTTCGTTGGTTCGAATCCTGGGCGCGGACATGGCACTGCTCATCAAACCACGCTGAGGCAGCATCCCACATGCCACAACTAGAAGGACCCACAACAAAGAATGTACAACTGTGTACTGGGGGGCTTTGGGGAGAAAAAGGGAAAAAAAATAAAATCTTTAAAAAAAAATTGATAGTAAAAGCCTTATGTATGTTTTTAGCTTTGAGGATCTTTGAGGATTAATGTAATAAATGCTTGTGTCTTTTGCCTTTCACAGCAAGAATTTTGAATTCCATATGGTAGAATGTCTTGTATAATTCTAGAACTAGAGACCTAGCTGTCTTCAGCTGCGTTTCTTTATATGGATGATATTACAGACTATTTTAATAACAGACTATTAAAGATATTGTAAAACTTCTTCATCAAATCTCCTTTTAGAGCATAATGCAAGTTGAAAGATACCTTTTAAGAGAAACCTAAATACCCCCTGGTGACAAATCTTATGGGCAGGCTTTCTAGTTATAAAATCAAAAAAGTTACTCTTATCAAAATAGATCAATAGAAAAAGATTCTGTTTCTACCTGTGAAATATTAAGCAGTAATATTAAGTAGTAAAAGCTATAATAAGCTTAAGCTTTTTGGGGTAACCAAATCTTTTGAGAAACTTATGAAAGCTGTACGTGATCTTCCCAGAAAAATGTGTGCACATATACACACATGTTTGTGTTCTAATTCAGGAGATTCATGGGCCCCAGAAACCCGTTCTCAAGAACTCTGGGTAAGAACTCAAGTCTGCCAGTTAAAAACATGGAAGATTCTAGAAAAATAACATAATTGATATTCTCTGTTATTGTAGGTATCAATCTAGGTTTACCATGTGTCTTCAGTAAAATAGAAAGAGGCGTCAGGAGTGAGGATATGTGTTTTATTTGTGGTTTCTCTGGTTTATATCAGGGAAGGAAATGTTTATCTTTAAAATAATATAATTCATGACCATTATATTTTGTTACAGTGATAACATTACTAAATGAGGTATTTAATATATTTATACATAAAACATAGATGAGTGTGGTGCTGGAGGCCGAGGTTCCCCTACTAGGCCTAGAAAAAGAGAAGAAATTATTATGTTTGTTGTAGTGAGTAAGATCATACACTTTGCACAGGAGTGACTGGCTTTAGCCAACAGGCACATGACTGAAAGGGCGTCTTTCAAGTATTAAGCTAAAGTAAATGAATATAAATTTATTGTTGATCTCTCAGTCTGTTTAAAACTTATGTACTACATATTTGTGGGAAGCATTTTCTAAAATATATTTATCGCTTTGTTCTGATTACAACAGTACTATTTGTACGGTATAAAAAATTTGCAAAGTATAAGAAAGTAAAAGGAAGAAAAAAATTGCCTCTAATCCAGACATAAAAGTAAACATTTTAAAATATCTATTATTTTTATTTATGTGTATATAAGTTTTTAAAAATACAAATTGGGTCACGCTATATGTCACTATTTTATAACCTGTTTTAAAAGGCAATATATTGTGAACATTTTCCATATCATTAAGTACACTTCTACATTATCATTTTTAAAAAATTATTTTATTGAGGTCATATTGGCTTATAACATTGTGTAAATGTCAGGTGTGCGTTATTATATTTCAGTTTCTGCATAGACTGCGTCGTGCTCACCACCACTAGTCTAGTTTTATCCATCACCATACACATGTGTGGCTTTCCCCCTCCGCCTACCCCCTTCCCCTCTGGTAACTCCCAGTCTGTTTTCTTTATCTGTTTATCTTCAATATATGAGTGAAATCATATGGTGTTTGTCTTTCTCTGTCTGGCTTATTTCACTTAGCATAATACCCTCAAGGTCCATCTATGTTGTCACAATTTTGTCTTTTTTATATCGCCGAGTAGTATTCCATTGTACGTATATACCACACCTTCTTTATCCATTCATCCATTGATGGACACTTGGGTTGCTTCCTTATCTTGGTTATTGTGAATAATACTGTGACAAACATGGGGATGCATAAATCTCTTTGAATTGTTGATCTCATATTCTTTAGATCAATACCCAGTAGTGGGATAACTGGATCATATGGAATAACGTGTCTACTCAGGCAAAGGAAACAAAAGAAAAAATAACAAATGGGACTACATCAGACTAAAAAGCTTCTGCAGGGCAAAGGAAACCATGAACAAAATGAAAAGACAACCCACCAACTGGGAGGAAGTATTTGCAAATCATATATCTGACAAGGTTAATTTCCAAAATATATAAAGAACTCATACAATTCAACAACGAAAAAGAACAACTCAATCAAAAAATGGGCAGATAATGTGAACAGACATTTTTCCAAAGAAGATATACAGATGGCCAACAGGCACATGAGAAGATGTTCAACATCACTAATTATTAGGGAAATACAAATCAAAACTGCAATGAGATATCACCTTACACCCGCCAGAATGGCTATAATTAACAAGATAAGAAATAACAAATGCTGATGAGGATGTGGAGAAAAGGGAACCCTCATCCACTGCTGGTGGGAATGCATACTGGTGCAACCACTGTGGAAAACAGTATAGAGATTTCTCAAAAAATTAAAAATAGCAATGCATTATCGTTTTTACTGTCAGGGTAGTCCATTGTCCCATCACCTATTGTTGAATTTGAATGATTTCCACTATTGTAAGCAATTCTACAAGGAACGTATTTGTAGAACAATCCTTACATATATTCACAACTAGTTTCTTAGAATAAATTGGTAGAAATAGAACATCTGGGTAAAAGGGTATACACACTAAGACTACTAATTTGTGCTCCAAACAGATTGTACCACTTATATTCTTCTAGAAGCATATGGGAGTGATCATTTACCTGTGTCCGTGCCAACATTGGGCATCAATTTTTTATTTGATACTCTAAAAGGTGAAAAAATGTACCTGTGTTTTAATTTCTATTTCTTTTATTTTAATTCTTATGGAAGTTATACTTTTGTTATTTTTTTAGCCCATTTATAGTTCTTCTATAAATAGAACGTCTTTGTCCTTTGCACAATTTTTCTGTTGTTTTTCTTCCTAATTTGTGACAGTGATGTATAAACTAAGGATGTTGACCCTTTGTCTTTAATATTTTGGCAGTATTTCCTCAGTTAGTTTAATTATGGCATTTTTGATGTCAGAAACTTTAAGATTTTATATAGTTACATTTATCAATCTCTTCCTTTCTGCCTTTAGGTATTATGCTTAGAAAAGCGTTTCTACCTCAATATTACATAATATGTCTTCTGTCTTTTAGAATTTTTCTGGTTTCATTTTATACATTTGATCTTTAATTCATCCAGAATTTATTTTGTTGTACAGTATGAGAGTAGGAATCTTTTTCTGGTTAGCCAGATGTCCTAATATCAGTTATTTCATAATCCTTTCTTTCTCTGCTGGTTTTGAAATGCTATCTTTACCCATATAAATTGTTGTAAATATTTGACTCAGTTTCTGGGCTGTCCATTTGGAATCATTGATTACAAGTGTCAATAACCTTTACTCTCTCCTTTCTCCTCTCTCTACCTCCTAATTTGGTTTGTTGGTTCTATCAATGCTGTTATTACACCTGCTGCTCCTCACAGAGCACTTAGTAGACTTTGTTCTTATTTAGAGATTTTGTCGGTGCATTAATTCTCTATTGCTGTGTACCAGATTACCATAAGTTTAGCTGACAACACGTATTTATTATCTCCTAGCTTCTGTGGGTCAGGAGTCTAGGCACCGCTTAGCTAGGTCCTCTGCTTTGATTCCTTTTGAGTTGTTCCTTAGTTCTGTCTGGCTCTTGGCCAAAGACCACCTTCCATTTCTTGCCACATAGGCCTCCCAAACGTGGCCACTTGCTTCGTCAAAGCCGGCAAGGGAGAGATTATGCTAGCAAAATGGAAATTAAAGCCTTTTGTAGCCTACTTACTTGTAGTGCCCTCAACCTTGAAGTGTTTGCTGGGCTAGAAACAAATTACTCGAGGGGAGGGGATTACACAGGCTGTGGATGCCAGGAGGCAAGGATCACTGAGGCCGTCTAACAGCTGCTCACCACAGTCAGCTTTCTCAACAATGTGTGTAGTCTGTGAGAGTAGGGGTGTGTTTTTTTGCTTATCATTGATCATTACTGTCAGACACAATGCCTGGCACACAGTAGGTCCCAAATAAATATTTGTGGGATAAGAACATGTCTCTAATAGATGGCATATGTTTAGATTTGGGGTTTTTGGGGGGACCAGTTTAAGCATTTGTCTTTTAAGAAACAAAATAAGTCTTTTATACTTATTGTTATAGAATTGGTTGGAGCTCATAGTCATATTACTGTGTTTGCTTTTCGTGTGTCCCTGTGGTTTCCCTTGAATATCTTTCGTTTGCTGTGTTGACTGTTTGCTTTCCTGTCCGTTAGACCTACCAATAGCAGTCTCTGCCATTGTCTCCTGTACTCTCGCCCTTCGCTCACAACCCTCTGCTTCTACTAGAGCCCTCAAAGCTGACTCAAAGCAGGAGAAGGTTTCAGTTTACATTTTTAGGGCTCTGGTTCAAGGGAAGGGAGTGCTGTCTCTCTACCAGTTCAGCAACAGTAGGAGGTGGATATGATTTTGGCATCTTCTGTTATTTCCCAGATGCATTATCCACAAATGTGATCCTCTTATAATTGTGTAGCATCATATACTAAAGAAACTGTTATTGGTAGCCTACAATCTAATCATTTCTTTTAAAATTAAAATATTATAAGGAGGTGTGCCTCATTTCAAAAAATTGATCTAATTTTTAGAGTATTCCATGCCATCCAAAAATTGGGAAATGTGTGTGCTGTGTCACTGTCACCCACTCTAGTCCCCCACCCACTGCTGGGCAAGACATAGTCATTGATTCATTCAATCCTCCTCTTCATTCTTACAACATTCACTCTCCCTTCGTATACTAAGCACTGCCCTGGGCACTGGGAACACAGGTAATTAAGACACTTGGAGTCTAGTGAGAGAGACAGACATGAACACAAAGGACTTCTGTGTGTGTGTGTGTGTGTGGTTTATTTCTTTGTCCTCATATTTGGAAAAATCTTCCTACATATACCCAATATAATTCCTATAAAAGATTCTTTTGGTGAGGATCTATTTCTTCTTTCCTAAGTACTTATTTGAGCAATCTCCTCTCTGGTTTGAAGTGCTGTTTTATCACGTGCAAAGTTGCAATGTAAACTGAGTGTTTCTAAACTCTCTACTATTTTATTTATCTGTCCAACTATTTTAAATGTTGTAATTTTATAATGCATTTCAATATCTAGTGATGCAAGTCCTTCAGTTTTTAGTTATATTCCAAAATTTCATTATGTTCAACTGTTTATTCTTTGCATGGTTTTCTTTGTTTTGTATTGCTAGTCCCTTAAAGGTGATTAATTGGAAATCTGAATTCCAAGTTCTTTAAAGTCCTAGTTTAAATTTAGCTTTATTACACTTTTCTCTGGTTGAATATGAAACATGAAAGCTGACCAGGTATCGTTTTCATTTTTGCTCGTTTTGAAATATTTTAATGACTTGTTTTGCTGTTCAGTGCCACAGAGACTTTAAATGAAAAGTACAGTGTTTAAAACTTGGTATAGACTTTACTATTTGAATTTTAATTGGCTTTTTTTTATATACCATAGGTTTAGCCCAAAGGCATCCCTTCCGCCACCTTTTCAGATGCATCTCTCAAGAACCTGTACTAAGGAAATGAGTGGTATGTTTTCTAAACATAATCTTCATGATACGTTTTGGCTTCTGGAGCCTCAGAACCCTAAGAAAAAATGTCTGCTGATGGCCTTTGACATTGCTCTCAGCTTCTCCTACCTGGTGTATATGTCTCCTCCTCTTTACTGATTTCTTTAAATTTCGAATGCAACTAAAGAGAAAATAATACCTCCCAGGATGTCGTTATCCCCTGGCTTGAGGCCTCCCTCACACCACACCTCTTCTGTTTTACTTCCATGTGTCACTTGCAGAGATACTTGTGCCCCTTGTCACCCTCTCACTCATTAGAGGGTATGATTTAAAGTACATAAATATGGGACTTCAACTCCTAAAATAGTTTCAGATACTCCACCATTTGAAAGCTGGGACCCTAAACTGTGTGCAATGACTAGTAAGCATCTAAATATGAATATAAATGATTCATCAGGTTATAAAATCCAAAGGGGCTGTTAAGAAAATAATAAGAGACATAATAAAGTCAAAGAATCTAAAGATTAGAAATGCATCCACTCATCATCTCGTCTCCTCCAACCAAAGGGTAAACCCCCTGCTCATAGCCCGACACCGAGGGATACAGTGTTTTCAGAATTAGTGCTTATGTTGCATGAAATTTAAATGTGATTTTAAATGATTTGTTCTTTAAGTGTGATTCTTTGAGTTGAAATCGTTTTTTCCATAAGAACATATCTCTGGTATTTCTAATGGAACTAATTGAACAATGTGATTTTTGTTTATATCAGTTACTTTTACCTATGCAGTTTCTGAAACATGACTTCTCAGTAAAGTTGTGTACCCTTTAGAGGTCATAGATCCTTTTAAATTAGAATAAGCTTTTCCGCACAACCAAGAGGACTTGTTTCAGGAGGGTTGCCATTCACCTGGCAGCTGAGATGCACACACTTACGCACCACCTCCCCTACACAACCTCTCCTACCTGCTGGCAGCCTAGATGACTTCCTTTATTTGTTTAACAAAAGGTACAGAAGCTTAGGTGACTCCAGTGGCCCCACAGAGCAGGTACACGTGCAAGGACTATGCAAGGTCAACTGCTGACACTCTCTCTTTAAGGGAAGGTCTGGCCAATTCTGAGAAACTCGTCTTTTCTTTTTTCCTACCCTTTTATATCATTATTTGGGAAGAACTTAAACAAATTAGCCATGCCTTTAATAGCAAACATATATGGACATCCTGGACCCTTCTGTTCTCTGAGCCAAACTAAGCCTTAGCAAGGCCAGGTCTCATTCCCCGTGGCAGGTGAAGCAGAGTCAGCATCCAGCCATCCTCAAGGAAGCTCACCCTTTGGCTTCCTGGCATCCTGAGGGGCCAGCATCCCCACACCAGCCCATGTGTCTCTACCAGCCAGCTTAAAATCAAAGAAAAATCGTTGAATCCCAGTGGAAATACTATTTGATTAAAATATACACATATGTTTTAATATACTCCGATCTGTATCCCATTGGGATTCAGAAAAAGTTTGGAATGAATTTCATAGTTTTTGCAATACCAGAACTGTCAGTTATAGTAGACGCTCAAGTTTCTTTATTATCTTAGGGTGTTAACTCAGGCATTCTGAGATTTAGATACAAAATAGAAGTGAGTAAGAGAGCTAGCCAAAACTTTACAAATATTCACTTATGAAAGATAAATGATTTGGATTGGGGAGATAAAAACAAATCATTAATCTGTGGGCACCAAACATTTTATTTATGTTTATAAACCAAGACTAGGATGATTATTGTAGGTGGATCAATTTTTGAACTGTGTATTGCTAAATTATTATTTTTTTCTCCTTAGTAAAGTGGAAAATTGATATACCTTAAAACCTGAACTATTTTTTGTTTTCTATAAAATGTTCTTCAGTCTTACTATTAAGGCATTATCCTTATGCTCTGTGGAATATAGCTTCAAATTCGGCATTGTATATATGCCATTATTGTCTAAAATTTAGCCTTTCTTCGTTGCAGTTAGAAAATGATTGATTAAATAATATGTTTCATTATTATTTAAGAAGCAAGATCATCCTGATGTTTAAACTATGAAGCACCCTTTCAAAGTAAAGGGACCATATTTCCTCTGTGGTGGCTGTTGACCCTGCTGGTTATTTCAGGGTTAAAACTTAGACTGAAGCTGTCATGGTCCTGCTTTGCCTAATCCTGCTCCTTCTAAGTCCTTTGACCCTGGCAAGCCTGAAGTATAACGAAGCCTAAAGACCAACACTGGGTAATGGGGATGACCTAAAATGTTAAGCATTTTGGTTAATTCTATCATTTTTTTAATTTAAAGATAATTTAAATCAGACTGTTGAAAAACCAAATGTCACGCCTCCTGCCTCTTACACTTATAAAATGGATGAGGTTCAAAACCGCATAAAGGAAATTCTAAACAAGCATAACAATGGTATTTGGATATCTAAGCTTCCACATTTTTACAAAGAGTTATATAAAGAAGAACTTAATCAAGGAATTTTACAGCAGTTTGAACACTGGCCTCATATTTGCACGGTACGTTTCTCCTTGTTCCTTCCTCCTGCTGCCTCCTTCCTGCCCCACTTTCAGATTTTGAGTTATTAGTCGTATCACCTTTTATCCAAGGAGCACGAAGCACTTTATGTAGTATTGCTCCATTAATCTTCTCTCTAAGATTAACACGTATTGGTTCTTATTTATAGGAGAAGTATGTCAAGGTTGAGGGCTGTGTGTGTTGTAATTGCTGTTTTTATATATTTTGTTTTAAATTACTGTTTAAATGCATTTAATATGTGATAATATGTATACCATTTTGTAGTAAACTGCTACCAACAGCTACTGATAGCTTTGCCATTTTAACAAGTTGAACTTACTAGTAATGAAGCTCTTTTTTTTTTTAACCTCAAATTTTATGTGCTTCTCCCTGAGCATTTTTAAAGACATTCAGCTGAACAAAGTTATTTTGGCTAATTATTTATAGAGTGCCTGATTTTTGTTTTAAAATTAACATAGGGTTCAGATTTAAAATTTTTACAAACTCCTTTGGAGAACAAAATTGAAAAGTGAGCTGACATCAATTTCCATACCTGTTCCTACTTGAGAGTCTCTTATTATAATAAAATGATGGATCAGAATACTTTGTTAGAAATCTTAGTTCAGCTAGAGATAGAGACAACTAGATTCTTCAACCAAAGTAACCAACTTTTAGATGTTTCTTAATGTTTTTATTTACACAGAATATATTCAACAACATCACTATTTTAAATAGTTATGTTTTAAATGGTAGCATTAGCAGCTCTTGGTGCTTCTCAGCTTGTAGAATTAAATATGCATGACAATTATTGTTTCATAGAGGTCTTTCATTTCTTTAATATATGTTTTGGCCCCCAACCCTGTTGGGCAAAGTACAAGCCACTCCCTCTTTAGGCCAGCTTTTTTTTTTTTTTTTTTTTGGGTGAACGAAAAGTGGCCCTAAACTGACATCTGTGCCAATCTTCCTCTTTTTGCTTGAGGAAGATTGTCCTTGAGCTAACGTCTGTGCCAGTCTTCCTCTATTTTATATGTTGGATGCCACCACAGCATGGCCTGATGAGTTGTGTGTAGGTCTGTGCCTGGGATCCAGACCAGCTAACCCTGGGTCGCTGAAGTGGAGTGCGTGAACTTAACCACTATGCCACCAGGCTAGCCCTGAGACAGTTTGTATTTTTGTAAGCACTTTTTCCTCCAGGCCACTGATACCCACTTGAGTCCCATGGACTTTCCAGACAAGAGTCACTGATTCATCCCTCCATCCTATTTATTTATACATCATTCACTCTGCACCCGTAGGTACCAGTCACTGCCTCAGGTGCTGAGAACATCTAGGGCTATGTGATGTTAGATTATACGGTGTGAAGTGGGAAAAGAAGAAGAAATATCCAACTCTGGGAATATGGCTCTTCCCCTACGTATAAAGTCAGCAATGCTTATTAATCCATAAGAACATTAGCTCTGATTTATGTGGGATGTGGGGTTCTTATAATGGGAATTTCTAAGGTTGCTATTCGGTTCATTCCGTTTTTACTCCTTTCTGGGAAGGGTTTTCTCTCTCGATGCGGGTTTAGCAGTGTTGATGTCGAGGATGAACCCCTCACACTTCCCTAACTCGAGGGGCCTTCCGAGGTTTCGCCAGGCTGCCAATTTGAAGGTTCAGGGCCTGGAGCTCCTTCTTGGAATGCATATGGTTCTTTTATTTTTTGAATCTGTAGACATTCATGAACTAATAACTTATCTTCAGTGAACGTAGAGCTCTTTTTTATCATCAAGATACACATATAACTCACTATTAAGCTTTGATGAAGAAATCATCTTTGGAGTAAATATTTTAAAAATTAACTTCACAGATTCTTCTTAATGTATTATGTCTCTGGTTACTTTAATATTTTATACTCCATGGTAATTACTAGTATTTGTGTAGCTGAATTTATGGCTTTTTTGGGGGAGAAAGTTTCAACCTTGCTACTTTACGTGTCTGCAAAGCCCCAGATTTCTCTTGCTAAGATTGTAGGTGAGAGAATACCTATCTCTTTGGTGTTAAAACTTTACCTAAAATGAGTGGTTTTCCACTAAATTTCAGGTGCTGAAACAACTGACTTTTTATTTTCTGGTTGCTCAGATTCATCTCAGTTGCATGATTATTTTCTGTCCGGGCAGTGAAGCTGGAACATAAAGCAAAAATATAATAATAGCTTTCTTATCTATATGCTGTTTCTCTCAACTTTGGATAAGAATGTTTAGATGCAATCACTATTAATTCTTAGGTATGAGAATTTGCTTAGTGAAGCATTGTGTCCAGGTTGCCGAAAACTGCCAATCTTATTAACATGTATTGATGTTTTTCAAAAAAAAAATTTTAATAACCTCTGAATATGTTTTAACAGCCTACTGGTAAACAGTTTTCAACAGTTAGACCATGGTTATTTTTAGAGAGTTTTCAACAGTTACACCATGGTTATTTTCCCTTTCTTCTTACTTCTTGCTTTTCTTTGCTGAAAAGCAGAAACACTGATAGCGTGCCCAGGGCTGATACTGCTGCAAGCGGAGTCAGACAGTCTCAAACACTGCAGCAAAGTTAGGGTAAGACAGACTTGGTAATGCGTATCTCTCTGTATGGCTGCTTGTGTAGCTGAAGAAGAAATCCAAGTGCAGTGTATTTCTTTCTTTAAAAAAAAAAATGGTTTCTCCTTCAATCATGTAAAACATTCTATATAAAAAAGAGTGAAAAATAAAGTTATAAAAGAAATGAAAATCACCTATCGTCCTATCTCCCGGAGATAACCACTTGCAGGGATTTCCATTGGAATGTCAGAATGGGCAGTGTCAGCTTCAGGGACCAAATAGCAGCTCGGAAATTTTACCTTCGTGGAGGCTCTAATCAGCTACCTGCTACAAGCCGCTTCACAAGGATGTTGGATGACATTTTAATGCAGGCAGAAGGATACTTTGAATCTGTTGTTCTTAACCTTTTGGATCTCCCCAACCACAAAATGTGGACCGAGAGTTAGGAAAGCTAAAGAGAATATAAAGTCATATTAATGACGATGAACTGTTCATAGTGTTCCTAGGCAACTTGTGAGGGAAATGGAAATTGTACAGAAGCTGTTTGGAAAGGCAAAGAGCCCGTGATGGTAAGCCTGTAGACCAAGGATACTGGAATCTAAGAATGCCCATTGGGCCCAGTATTTATAAAATGCTTCCCTGAGCCAGCCACTGACCTGGGTGCTAGGGGTAACAGTAAACAAGACAGACATGGTTCTTGCCCTTGTGGAACTTACTACCCAAGTGGGGAAAATAAACATCGAGTAAATAGTGATAAGCTTTCGATTGTTATGAGGCTGCATAGGAAACAGGTAAATAGGAGGGCCAGACTGAGTCTGATGAGTCGAGAAAAGCTGCTCAGAGGAGGTGATTGTTACACTAAAACTTGGCAGATGAGTTGAAGTAAGTTAGCCAAAGGAGTCGATTGAGGGAAAAGGCACCTCAGACACAGAAGCAGCTTGTGCCAAAGCCCTGAGACAGAAAAACGTGGCTTTTTCAGGAAATTGAAAGAAATTCGATAAAAAGAGAGTGGCTCAAGAAGAAACTCATGAGGCAAGCAGAGGCCAGGTTACTTAATTGAGGACTCATCATTTGGTAGAAGCTTAGCAGGTCCCTGCCACAACAGCACCCAGAATCCAGAGCTTCTGGCTGACTTTGCTTCCTAGGAAAGTTCCCAATCTTGTAACAATGATTGGTGAACACCAGGAAGTTTTGTCGAAATTCTCCAGTCTCTGAAACATGTGGAGAGAGAAATCTCTGCATTTCTACATGAGCCAGAATATCTGTCTTTAGTGCTTTATCTGAAGCTTCCTAGAGAGCTGGGGGGCTTGTTTTATAGCCAGGCAGGACTAGATGCACTCAGCTGAGAAGAATTTCTGCCAGGAGCCTCAAAGACCCGGGGTAGGAGCATTGGGAGGCAACTTCAGGACAGCAGGGGAAACATGCTGAGTTGGGCTGGAGGCACACCAGCCCTTAATCACAGAACAGAACGTTCTGTGAATGAGAACATAAAATGTTAATGAGAAAAAATGCTGAATTGCACTAATTATTCATGCTTTTAAAAGCTTTACTGTTAATTTGTATTTTACATCATTTTCCACCCATTAGAAATCACTCTGCTTTAAGTTGTAGAGTGCTCAATTACCTTATTTTTTTAATTGAGGTCATAATGTTTTATAACATTGTGAAATTTCAAGCATACATTATTATCAGTTTTTATATAGACTGCATTGTGCTCACCACCAGTAGTCTAATTTTATCCATCCTTTTACCCCTTTTGCCCACCTTCCAACCCCCTTCCCCTCTGGTAACTGCTAATCTGTTGTCTTTGTCCATGTGTTTGTTTATCTTCCACATATGAGTGCAGTCATGTGGTGTTTGTCTTTCTTTGTCTGGCTTATTTCACTAAACGTAATACCCGCAGGGTCCATCCATCTTGTTGCAAATGGGATGATTTTGTCATTTTTTTATGGCTGAGTAGTATCCCATTGTATGTATACACCACATCTTTATCCGTTCATCAATTGGTGGACACTAGAGTTGCTTCCATGTCTTGGCTATTGTGAATAATGCTGCAATGAACATAGAGGTGCATAAGTCTCTCTGAATTGCTTATTTCCAGTTCTTTGGATAAATACCCAGTAGTGCGATAGCTAGGTCATATGGTATTTCCATTTTTAATTTTTTGAGGAATCTCCATACTGTTTTCCATAGTGGCTGCACTAGTTTGCATTCCCAGCAGCAGTCTATGAGGGTTCCCTTTTCTCCACATCCTCTCTAACATTTGTTATTTTTTGTCTTGGTGATTATAGCCATTCTGATGACGAGTGAGGTGATACCTAAGTGTAGTTTTGATTTGCATTTCCCTGATGATTAGTGATGTTGAACATCTTTTCCTGTGCCTATTGGCATCTGTATGTCTTCTTTGTAAAAATGTCTGTTCATATTCTCTGCCCATT